GTATTTCAGCGATACGCCGACAGACACCAACAGCCCAGTTTGGGATTGATTGCGCAATCAGAGGTTCAACTCGGCTCCTTGCTGCCGCACATCACGTTTCACCCCGTATTTCAACAGGAAATGTGCAATTTCAGCGATTTTGACAATTAAAATGATCGCAATTAGTCATACATAAAGATCGGCGGACAAATAATAATATGTCATCGTATGTTTTGTCTTGTGAGGATGACCGCACGTCCCATAAATATATATACACAGCTATATAATTGCAGTCTCTGTGGCTGTGCAAGTTGAAAACCTTGGGAAAGAAACATTTTTCTCAGATTATTACGTACGTTGGCACTCGGCATGCCCTACCGGTAGCCCCCTACCGGACCCCGGCACCGGTAGCCCGGTGTCCCGGTAGCTCCGTGCCGCCGCCCCCTAAATCTTTAACATATTTGGTTGGATCTGCTTTAGTTTAGATTCTCATTGGTTTGTTTTTAGTCATGTGACTTGTTTTTAGTCATGTGACAAAAACAAGGAAGTGGGCGGGCTACCGCGATACCGCGGTAAAAGACGAAAAACGGAAAACCGGGAATACCGGGAAAACCGGGGAATATCGGGGAAAATGGCCACCGGGGGAGGGGGGCCGGGGCTCCCCAGAGGGGAGACCCGGACCCCCGACCCCGGTTCGATATCACTGTCAGAGTAGACCCGCACCGAACCCCGGTATCGCGGGAGCCCTAGGACGCAGTAGCCCGGTAGCCCCCCCTCCGGCCCCGGTAGCCCGGTTGCCCGGTAGCGCGGTTGCCCGGTAGCCCCCCCCTCCGGCTCCTTACCTTGTTCGTGCCTTGCAGTGAGAGTCCGCCATCTTGCCATTTGAGCAAATTTAAATCACTCTGGAATTTGGAAAAAAAAACAAACAGGGGTTTTCAAAACATTTAGGGAAACTCCAGATGGGAAAACAAGTAAAAGTTGCAAAATGACATTTAGTCTTTCAAATCTTCATTTTAAACTGTAAACAAGGAAAAAAGTACAAGTAGCTTATAACTGTACTTATAATATATAATGAATATGACTGTTTTAAAAATATAAAGTAAAATTTAGGGGGACATTACATACATACATACATACATACATACATACATACATACATACATACATACATACATACATACATACATACAGACAGACAGACAGACAGACAGACAGACAGACAGACAGACAGACAGACAGACAGACAGACAGACAGACAGACAG